TATTGCCCCAAACCACATTATTCTAATATATTTATCTTTCCCTAAAAGTCTCAGCTATTCCGACATTCACTTGGTAGTATTGCTATGTTATTTCAAATGACAAGGTATCATCACAAACACTGTCATTTTCAGCATACTATGCAATGTTATCATCGATTGCAATAACATTCTCTCTTAGCTATTTAGGTGACTATAAAATGAGCCAACGGTGATAGTCTAGGTCTTAGCAGATATTTCTCCTTCCTTCAATGAATCAACAGATATTTATTAAACACTTCTCATCTGTCAGGTCTTTCCAACTCTGAGGCCATTCAGTCAATCAATCCCACTCACTCAGCACTTACTTGGTATATTACTTTTTTTTTGTATATGACTTCTTATATTGTCACCCTTTACAAATGTATGTATACTGCCTCCTCAGTTAGATCAGAAGTACTTTTACAGCAGTGGTATCAAACTCAAATAGAAATGGATCCCTAGAAAACCATAAATCACCATTATCTATGTTGTATTATATTTTCTTTAAATTTTGTTAAACATTTCCCAATGACATTTTAACCTGGTTTGGTGGGGAGCGGCTTAGCCTGATACCTGTTTTACAGCAAGAAGGGATACTTCCTTCTTTCTACAATGCTTGGCAAATAACAGACATACTCAGATATTTGCTGCTAACAATTAGCTCTGTAACAATGACCCAGCCACAGGAGTCTGCTCTAGCTTCCCTCCTAGACTGCAAACCTAAAGCTAACTTGATGGGACAACAATATGGCATCAAAGCAGTTTCTCAAAGGCCTACCTTTCAGGCACACCACATTTGCTCTAGTCTCTTATCACTGTAGAGAATACTCAAAGATAACACCAAAAGGCTAAAAGCCTCTAGGTAACTTTTTACACACATTTCCTTCTGATTCCTTTCAACAGACAGTATATAGTAAAGCCCAAATGAAGCAAGTATTCCAAAAATAGTTCTAGCTATCAAAGTTATTTCTATATCACAATGGATGATCCATTTGAACAGTACTCTGGATTTGGTTACAAATTTTCTAAAAGGTTCTTTCCTGTACAATGTGTGCTTTCTCTGGTCTGTGTCCCTGTGGAACTTATCTGGATGGACTGAGACCAAGTAAGACCCGGAGACCTTTTTCCAATGTATGTATATATTTAGAGGCAGAAAGGCAATTAAGAGTGTTAAGCTTCAACTCAAGAAGATTTCAGTTCAAATTCCACTTTTGACACTAGCTAGCTATGTGACCTTGGGTTAGCAGCCTGGACTTAAAAACATTAAAAAAATAATAATAGGTAACATCTACATAGTGCTTAATATGTCCCAGGCACTACTTAGCACTTCACAATTATTATCTCATGTGGTCCTCACAACAACTCTGGGAGGTAGGTGCTATTATTCTATCCATTTTACAGATGAAAAACTAGGGGCAAACAGAGGTTAAGTGACTTGTTCAGGGTCACAAAGCTACGTGTCAGAGGTCAGTTTTGAACTTAGGTCTTCCTGACTCCATGCTTAGTGGTTTATCCACTGTGCCACCTAGCCACCCCCTTTTAAAATACGAATCTATATGTCAACCAACACGAACATTTAAATACACACAGAACAGGATGGCATATAAAACTGAACTTTTGTTATACATATTTTAAACATATATTAAACTTAATTAGCAGCTAGGTGGCACAGTGCATAGACTGCTGGGCCCGAGTAAGAAATATCCGAGTTCAAATTCAGCCTCAGGCACTCAATAGCTGTATGACCCTTGATAAGTAATGTGTAACTCGTCTTTCTCAGTTTCTTCGTCTGTAAAATGGGAAGAATAATAGCACCTAACTCAGAATTGTTGTGAGGACCACATGAGATAACATCTGTAGTGTAACAGTGTATGGCACATAATAAATGCTATATAAATGTTAGTTATTATATTAAATTTAATACAATAGTAATAAAAACACCCTGCTTGCCTGTCTCCTGTTTTCCTCAGTTTCTTCATCTCTAAATTAGGAACAATATAGCACGTATCTTACAGGGTTGTTGTAAGGATCAAATAAGATATTTATAAAAGGTTCAGCATAGTGCGTGACAAATAGCGCTACATAAATGTTTATTCCCTTTCCCTTCCCTCCTTCTGAACTTCCTTCTACTCTCCTGTATTTTTAAAAAATCTCTGATGCTCTTTTCCTTTTCTTCTTTTTTTGTACCATTACCATCTACCAATTCTCTCCAACCCTTCCTAAAAAGCTCTCCCTTGTAGAGTCAAGTGAAATAAATATCACCTTGGCCAGTTCTACACAAATATGTCCTTTTCTGCACTTCTATTCCATCATAGTTTGCCAAGAGCTAGGAAGCACGTATTTATCATCAGTCTTCCAAAGCCAAGATTGGTCTCTGCACTGACTATAGTTTCCGAGTCTTATAATAATGTTTCCTTTATGTCATTATGGTCACTGTGTAAATTCTTTTTTTGGTTCAACTCACTTCTGTTTACATCAGTTTGTATAAATCAGTAAATACTTGATCTCTGGCTGTCTTGCTCAATCATAACATTTAACATTTACATCATTTGATCTTCACGATAATTTTTATTTACAGATGAGGAAAGTGAGGCTCAGAGAGGTTAAATGATCTGGTCAGGGGCACAAAGCCCACAGCAGAGGCAAGAATTGGACCCAGGTTCTCCTGACTTCAAGTCCAGTCCTTTCCGCACTCTATACCATTTTTTAGTTAACTCCCTGGGACTTATCTAGTAAATAACAGATGGGTTTTGATCTGCTTGATGGAACAAATTCTCACACTGAGAATTCCCTACACTGACAAAATCACAGCTCCTTCCTGCATGACACACACTATTTACATAGAAGAGCTGAAGAAATATCATCATGTAACTCACAGCAAGAACAGGGACAAACTGGAAGTCTGGTAAGTGGAAATTGTACTATATAGGCCACCTTTCCTTTCCCTTCCAATCATGATAACAATAACAGCTTCACTTCAATTCACTTCAAGCAGACATTAACTATGTACTTACTAACCTGAAGATACAGTGCTAGACACTTCTCACAACTTTTGCCCACTTGTGTGACAATGTCAATTATAAAAGGTTTGCTTTATAACAACTCACTTTTCCAAAAGCTTTTAAGGAAAATATTGTATGGCACTGAATGGGAGCTATCAGGTTGCCCATAGAATTGCTTCTGCTATTCAAACTGCAAGAGATAACCAAAGACACAAAGCCAGGTTTGGGTAAGGAAAGGAATAAGATCAGTGAGTGGATTAGGTGGCTTGTATGTATGAGTTTTTTTGGTTCCTAATGGGTTCATAGCATTATTTTCACTTTTTAATTCCTTTCAGAGGAAGCACCTACAATGTACCCAGAACTGAATTTCACGATGATTTTTGACTTGTACATTTTGGCATTATCACAAAGTTAAATATCCTGAGAAGCATGTCTTAGTGGATAGAGGCATGGCCTTGGAGTCAGGAAGACCTGGGTGAATATGTTACAGAAAAGTTGCCAATCTGCAAGGAATAAGACAGATTTCCAGGAGTTTCAAAAACCTATGAAATGAGAGTTCTGGACAAAGAAACAAAATCTCCAAACTGCCCTAAACAAAATAGCTATGATAAAAGAATCTTGTAAGCACATTTAATCTTACAAGACACATTCTTTGCATTTCAGAAAGGCAGTAGATTAAAAATATTACTAAAAAATAATCTCAGTTCAAGTTAACCATTTATGAGAGATAGGTCTGAGTCATGTGTTTTTTCCATATGAACCAATTAAAGGGCTCAGATTCAACAGAAAATAACCCAAGGGAAACAATCATTGCCAGATGGTCCGAATCAAGTCAGACTTTCATCCTATTCACCTTAGACACAAAGGAAAGATAACGAGCCATTTTATATATTCAACTCCTGACAACAGCATTATTCAATCTGAGAGTATTGAGAAATTATACTTCTTCAAAAAATGGAAACCAAAACAGGTGCCTGGCCTAGGAGCAGCAAAATAAAACTAAAATAGTCATTTGTACTGACCAGTGTGATAAAGCACACACTGTGATATATCTTCCTCATAACTGGGAGGAAAAGGGATTCCAAATATCACTACACTTTTCAGTGCTATCCCCGGAAGACCTTTAACATGCACAGTCACTTTCAAATGTCCCAGAACTTGAAAGTACACTTCTGAATCATCCACCCTGACTGTAGTATGACTTTTTCCTTGCAGTTTCTCATTAACTTGGAGCACAGGTTTGGTTCGACTTGGGTCGGTGCAGGGCCTGGTGATGTCACCAGTTTCCTTGTCTGATTTCGATTCCACCTCTCACCAATGACTACCTACCTACAGGTCAATCTCACTAATTAAAGGGGATAAATGCTGTAGGCCGCATCTAAAAAACAATTTGCAATCGTCTACACTAGATGTTGCCTGGTTTCCCTACAGTGTTAACAAAGCAAGCTAGCATACTATGTCACCAATTCACCCTCTGTTTCAGAGGGTACAAAATGTAAATTTTTCCCAACTCACTGCCTTGGGCTCAAGTGCCAACTGGGAGTCGAAACCAAAGTATCCCTTTAAGGAATTATCCCAAAGCCCGAAGCGTATTCAGGAAGGGTTGACAGTGACATACTTGACTTTATTGGAAATGGCCTGGATAGAGACCCGGGAGGAAAGTTCAGAAGAAACGGATCTCTTTTGCATCTGCACTTTATTTATTCATTTATTTATTTATTTATTTGGGGGGGGGGAGGTGTGATCATGGAGGTAGAACCCAGGAATTGTGGCACTCAAAGGAATTCGAAGTCCAAGTTGCTTCATGTGTCTAAAACTACAACAAACTAGACTATTCCCCCCGCCGACTGCACGCGGCGTATAGGGGAGGGGAGGGCGGCTGGGCAGAGCACTCTTGGCTTCACTGTCAACCGCAAAGAAGGAAAGGGGGTGGTGGAGGGAGGGAGGCCAGTTCCCAAGATACAGATCAGCGGGCCCCGCGTTCCCAAAGCACACCCCGGCCTCGAGTCCTTGGAAGTTTCCCACTCTCCTCCTCCCTTCCCGCCCCCCGCAATCACTTGATAAACGAGCGGAGACGCTGGGGCCAGTTGGACCAAAGCCCGGAGTCGGAGCCCAGGGGGTGGGGGTGTGGGGGGGGTTTGGAGGAGGGGGAGAGACCAGGACTCTTCCTGAGCCCAATCGTCCCGCGACTCCAAAGCGTCTCAGCCCGAGGTCGCTCGATCTCCCTCCGTCCGTCCTTGCCTGCCTACCTAGCTACCTGCGCCGGGGCACAGAGGAAGGCAGAGGCGGCGGCTCCCGGAGAAGGCACTCAGCAGGCGCCGGAGCCGACCCAGGAGCGGCCGCGGCCGCAGACTCCCAGTCAGTGCTGCCCCCCTACTCGGGCCCCCTCCCGCCCCACCCCCACTTCCTAGCAACCCCGCCCTACCACACCCAGCTCCCAGCTCTGCTGCCTAGGCCGCACTGGCAGAGCCTTCTCCCCCACTCCCCACCCCCGCCCGCTCCAAGGGAAAGGATACTTTCCATGTTCGACATGGTCCAGCCGTTTCTCCCGGGGGAGGTGGCGGGTGGCTGTGAGGCACTGGAGTTGCGCGGGCCCTAGGCTGCAAGTCACCGGAGCTCCCGCGCTCCCACTCTCGCCCGGAGCCGACAGCGCCTCCCGTTTGTTTGGGGAACCCACTTCCGGCTTTGCGGCCGCGCGGGGTGGCGGGTGCAGGCGTCAGGCGCCTGAGGGGCGGGGCCCAAGCGCTCCAACCGCCCCAACCATCCCAACGGTCTCGGTCCCAGCCGTCGCAACCGCCAGCTGGGCCGCTCAGGGAGCTACCGACAGGGGCGCCTGGAGCAACCAATAGGTGCACACAGCGTGACCAGTAGGGGGCGCTCGCGCGCTCCTGCCCCAGCCCTTCCCGAGCGCCTCGAGCCTCTCTCCCTTCTCCCCTCCCCCTGCGCCTCGCGCTCTTGTCTTCTCGCGCTCTTACCTTCCCGCCCTCGCCGCCCTCGCCGCGTCCGCCGCCCCCGCCGCGTCCGCTGCCCCCGCATTCCACCCCTCAGCGCGGGCCCCTTGCACGCAGGTCTACTCTTCGGTTGGGTCGTCGCCTCAGCGGTTGCTACTGGTCGCCTTAGACGTTTCGGACCAGTTTCCCGTTCCCTGGCCTTCCACCGGCCTCGCGCCTCGTCGTGTGGCCCCTCCAGATTTGATAGCCTTCTTTCTCCCTTACTTCAGTTCGTTCCCTCAGTACAAAAAACTCATTCGGAAGAAGGAGAAAGGTAGAGCTAGGCTATTTTATATACTTTTTCTTTTTTTAACATAAAATAAAGGCTGGTGGGGGCTACAGCTGGGTCTTCAGGTAAAGTAAGTTTGGGCAGTTAAGCTTAACTGGAAAGTGCGTGGCCTCGTTCTCTTCAGGGGGGGCTCTTTGGTGCTCATGGCGGTGGGGGGGTGGGGGGAATGGGGGAGGAGGTCCCGTAGCTGCCGCCTAAGCTGGCCTTGAGGGGCTGGCGCAACGGGCCAACTCCACATGGGTTGAAAAGTCCTCTGCCAGTCAAACCCTGTTGTTATGTCATTTTTCAGTCAAGTCCATCTCTTTATGACCCCATTTGGGGTTTTCTTGGGATGAGATGTTTTGGAGTGTTTTGCCACTAGCGATCAAAAGATAGGGGTGCCCCAAGATGACAGGAGGAAGATTGTGAGGATTTGCATGTACCTTTTTTTTTTTTTGAGGCAGTCGGAGTTAAGTTGACTTGCCCAAAGTCACTCAGTTAGTGAGTGTTACATGTCTGAGGCCGGATTTGAACTTGGGTCTTCCTGACTCCAGGGCCGGTGCTCTATCCACTGCGCCGTCTAGCTGCCCCTTGCATGTACTTTTTAAGGATTTCTTAGTATTGTATCAAAGATCCTCTGTCGTTTCTTTGGAAACTTCCAATATTGGAAAATGGAAGATGGGTCAACTGTGAAGTGACCATTAAAACACAGCAGAGGTCAGGGTTGTCTGCCTATCAGGACTGAGGTTCAGAAGAGAGAGATGAAATTTTGTTTAGTAAACTGGGCAGGAAAGTATACATAATCCACTTTTCCGTCTCTGCTGATGACTACCAGTGGAATGTTAGGCAAATCATGTAAATTATCTAGATCTAAGTTTCTTCATCTTTCAAATGAGGCTATGGAACAGAGTGACATAGAGATGCTTCTTTAACGTGAAATTCCCCCTATCTTGGGATCAGAAATGTTGGCTTCTAAATTGCCACAGAAGGAAGGGCCACGGAAGTACTACTTTGGAAATAATTTTATGTTCTTCTCATGAAATTATGTCCTCAGGCAATTTGACTTGACTTTTCTCACTTTTAATTTCTTCATTTTAGCCGAATATTTTAGTATGTGTTGAAGTTTATTTCACCATAGTTAATGTATTTAGATAAGCTCCATATGTTTACTTTGGGCTATGTTTGTTGATAAACCAATTCTAAAATTAATCATTTGTGTTAATGCTTTCTGGACTAAATATGAGCCCTTAATGCTTCAAAGACAAACCTTATTGACTATAATCCTTATAAGAAATACATTCTTGGAAGAACTTATATGCATGAAGCTGTCACATAATAATTTTAGCATCTCTAGTCCTACCTCATACATCACTGTGCTAAAATATTTATTTTTACAATGATATAGTAAAACTCAACTTGGCAAATTTGATCAGGATAGCTATTAGTTCTATACTTCTGAGGTACAGGAGCAGGTTTTTTTTCTATTTCTGAGACCCCATTTTGGCATTAAGATAAAAATAAAAGTCAATCTTTCTAATATTCTCAGCATAGCAAAACCCATCTTAAGATAAATTCACATATAGTAAGGAAAGAAATGCTAGTTTACTATATTTTTTCTAGGCATAGTACTTAAATTGAAGTGCTTTAGAATATACCCAGAAGAAATTATTGGGAAAGGATTCATGATACTATAAATGTATTAGTAATGCTGGAGATTTGGATCAGTTCTATTTGGAACTCATTTCTGTTTTTGCTTGTATCCCTTAATACTAGCAGTGAAATAGAAATATCAGTTCAGTGGATTAATTTACCTTCCGTTATTGATATTTTTAACTTAAGGAAAAAGGAAATAGAAAGTATTTCTGTGTTATCACTTTCAATGATATTTGTTAAGATGCCATAAAAATTGGTTGAGAGGGCTGATCTAACTTTGGTTGTAAAAGTAACATTTTTCTTCAATTTCTAATTTCAGAAAAGTAGATTACAGTTTTAAAGTTAAAAGTTTAAATGATGCAGTATGTTAAAGAAAGGTTTTGGAAGTAACTTTTAAGGATGTTCTTGGTTTACGTTACCAGTGAATACGCTAATGATCAGTTTGATTCACTAAAACCTTATCTTGGCATTCTGAAGATACATGAAACCTTCAATTTGCTTTACACAATTTAAGTAGAGCAGAAACCTCAGAGATCATCTAGTCCAACCCTTTCAGTTTGCATGAAGAAAGTAAGGCTTTAAGAGGTTAAATAACTTGTCCAAATTAGCGTAGTAAACTCAAAGCTGGGATTAGAATTCATGTCTTTTAATTCCAAATCCATTTTACTTTCTACTATACCACAGAACTAATAAAGATTAACTGTATTAATCCAAATGGATATTTGAAAAGGTTTATACTTTTTTTTTTTTTAACAATAGGAACGTCCATTTCTTCATTATATGTGGTTGTTGAATCTCTGGTATGGTTCAGTCCTTGGCAGATTTCCACAAACACAAAGGTGCACACACCCTGTCCCAAATAGGCAGCTTCCTTTATCCTATCCTTACAACAGGGTGATAATGATTCAAGATGCGTTCGGTATATTAATTTGACTTCTGCCAATGTTAACGCTAAATCTAAAGGTTTAGCAAAAGTGTCTATCACAGAGCCACAGGCAGATAAACTTAGATGATTCAGGTGTAGTTATTTTTCCTATGGCTGTGCAAAGAAAAAATTCTTCAAAGAATCCCAGTTCTGTTACATATTTCCTGTGTGACATTGGACAAGTCACTTCTCTATGGGCTTCAGTTTTCTTCTCTGTAAAATTACGTGAGTTTTAAGTTCCCTTCTAGCTCTAGATCTGTGACTCTAATATGGGCTATTTTCTTACATCTGCTGTAGGGTGTTAAAAACTTGGTAATCCTAATTGATGGTGAAGAAAAACAAAAGTAGGAAATTGAGATTACAGTAGTACTAGGCTATCCCCCCCCCCAGCATTTTCAGCTGCATTGCTGTTCTTTTTTGGGTGCTGTCACCAATTTTGGTTTATAGAAACAGAGCTGGGAGGGACCTCAGAAGGCCATCTGGTCCAATCCTCTCATTTTAAAGATGAGGAATCTGAGGCCCAGGGGGATTAAGTGACTTGTCCAAGGTCACACAGGTAGCAAGCACCAGAGAACGGGGTTTTAACCTACAGCTTCTGACTCCAAAGCCAATGCTTTTTCCACACTAACTCACTGGTATAGAGGTAGAGGGAAGGGGAAGAAAAAATAAGCAGTATCTTAAGGGAATAACGGCAGTGTAGTGAGTTGGCGGAAGTGTTTAGGAGCCCCCCAAAAGACCACTTTATCAGGTGTGATTTGGGACTTAAAGAAAGATTATCAAGAAATGGGCTAGAAGTCATTGAGGAGGCTATAAGAGGAAGAGAAATTGTAATCCTTGAAAATCCTGGAAGGTATAGCTGAGGATTTTTATTGCTCATTGTAATAGGTCACTCCCAGAATTTAGGGGAAAGGCACCATCAAGGTGGTTTATGAAGACAAGGGCAAAAAGATTGCTAGTTTCAGTTGGCCTTCTATTTAGTTTTTGGCTGGCAAAGCCAAGAGTCAGAAAAGTTCATTTAAACACAATAGAAATGGATTTGAATAGTCTTATATGTGACCTGCAAAGTCCTCACCATAATTAGAGAGAAAAGAAATACAGAAAAAGGAAGTAGGATGAGACCTGACACTAGGAATTAAACAAGATTTCTCATTACTAATATGAGAAAAAAGAAATAGAAAAAGGGAGGAAAATCAAATTAAGTCCACAGATTTATGATTTTAAAAAGAATAAATACAAACTACTTATCATAAGTTGAAAATATGCTAAATTATTTTAAATATGTAAATTCATAAAATAAAGTGGCATTTGAGGATTAAGTGTAATGTGCAGCTACCAGAAAGAAAATATCTAGAGCAGTCTCTTATATACTTTTAATAGAGTATCTAGGAATTTGATTTTACCCCTGCCCGGCAACCTTTTAAAAAACTTGAATAATCAAATTGAAATTATATTTTTCTATCATCAGCAGAGCCTGGCTGTTTCTTATTAGGTGATGTGATGAAGAAAAATAATCAAATATTTTCCATTAGCAGGTATGTCTTCACACTTGAGAATCCTTTCAAATTATTTTTGGAACACACACGCACACACACACACACACACACACACACACACACACACACACATATATAAAACACATGGTATGTAAAGATTATTCCGTATAGGAATATTTGTTCAGAAAGGAACTCGTTTACAATTAACTTTTTCCTTTCCTTTAGTATTTTAAGGTTCAAGAGCTGTGTGAAGAAGTCTTTTGGGTGAAGAACAATTTACATTTGGAGTGAAGCGACAACGAGGTAAAAACCTTGTTTTGTGGGGAGACTTCAATCTACACTTCTAAAATTCCTATCCTATCCCATAGTTTTTTGACCCCAAGGCAAACTCAGTGTCAATGTGCTGTGTAGATTTTTTTTCAAAGCTTTTGTGTAGTGGCTCTTCATTTAGATTCTTAAGATAAAGACCTTTCCAAGTTATTTCCATGAGTCCAGTTACCTAGGTGTTTGGCCAGAGAAAAGTCTGACATGATTTTTATACAGTTCATTGATCCCTTGAATTTTAGGACATAAATCCTGTGATCTGTGTTTATTCACAGGTAGCTAATAAAGTAGCTCACACTTTTTATTGTTGCACACAGACATATAGTATTGACTTTGTTTTGAGCTAAAACAGAGTGGGCCAACTCTGCTCCTAAGAAGAAAACCCTAGCTTTTATTTTTTTCATTTTAAACTTCTTTTACAGCTGTCTTTGACATTGCAATCATTTCCTCATGTACTCCCCCTCCTTTGTAACAAAGAAAACAAGTTATGTAAAACTTACTGAAAGAGAGATTGCCTCTGATGGTGTATATAAGATGCTATACTTGTAGTCCACCATCTCTTTTCTGAAGGGAGTGAAGTGTGTCCTCTGTGCTCTAGAACCAAGAGTAATCATTGTATTTAACCTGACTTCACCTATCTTTTGAGATTGTTTTCTATGTTATTGAGGCATTTTATATGTTGTTTGGTTGGCCTTTTCTCCCCCCCCCCATATCAGTTCATAAAAATGAACTCTAATCCATTTTTCTCTGAATTTTTCTCTTTTGCTTTCTCTACTTTGTAGTGCTGATCCCTTTTATATCTATATGCTATAATTTTTTCAGCTATTTCCCAATTGAGGGGCATCCACTTTCCTTCTAGTTTTTTGCCACCAGAAAAAATATTGCTATGAAAATTTTGGAGTATATGGAGCCTTTCTGTCATTGAGTTTCTTGGGGATATATGCCCAGAAGTGGTTTCACTGAGTCAGAGTATGAACAGTTTAATGACTTTTCTCACATAATACCACATTGATTTCCAGAATGCCTAGATAATTTACAGCTCCACCAAAAGTGGAATCTATTTTCTCATAGCTCCTCCAATATAAAACCTGTCTTTTATCATCTTTGTCAATTTAATGTGTATGAGGTAAAGTCTCATAGTTCTTTATTTGAATTTCTGTTATTAGTGATTTGGATAATTTTTTTCCTTTTGAAAACTGTTCATATCCTTTACTTACTTTTCTACCCAGGAATGATTCTTTATTTTATACAGGGTGTTCGAGAAGATTTAGTGAGGTTTTAACCTATTAAAATTTAATATTTATGTCAATTTCTTCTATGTCTTAGATATAAAATTTGTATTAGAAATGTTTAATCTAAAAAGTTTTTTCTACGCAACAGCTTCTTTTCCTGTTCTAGCTTCCAGTTTGTAAAAACTTTACAATTTTACGTATTTGAAATCATCAATTTTGTCTTTTGTGATTTCTAACCGTTCTTTAGGTTTGCTTGTAAAAGGTACTTTCTGCTTCCTCAAAGTAGTATTTTTTAGAATGTGACTTTTAAAAAGTTTAGGTTGTTTATCTGTAAGATGCTAGTCTAAACTTATTTTCTGCAAAAATGCCTTCCAGTTTCCCCAGAATTTCTTGTTAAATAGAGAAACTTTCCTGTAGTCTTTTGTGTATCTGGGCATGTTGAGCATGGAGTTATTGGTATTCACTTCCATTTAGGTTTTTCTTGTCTACTCTCTTCTATTGATCTATTTTTCTACCTTTTTTTTTATGCAATTGGGGTTAAGTGACTTGCCCAAGGTCACACAGCTAGTAAGTGTCAGGTGTTTGGTCTGAGGGCAGATTTGAACTCAGGTCCTCCTGACTTCAGGGCCGGTGCCCTATCCACTGTGCCACCTAGCTGCCCCCTACCTTTTTCTTTTTAAAGCCCAGTAACAGTTTTGAGGATTCTTGGTTTATAATATAGTTGGAAATCAGATAAAACTAGGCACCCTTATTTCCTTAATTCCTTTTTTCATTTTTTGCATAAGATTGTAGATCTTTTATTTCTCCAAGTGAATTTTATTTTCTCTAGTTCTACAAAGGGCCATCTTGCAATTCTGATTGGTATGGTGCTAAATCTGTACATTAATTTAGGCAGTATTGATATTTTTCTCATGTTATGTGTAGCCTAAACGTGAATATGGAATAGCTTTTCAATGATTGAATCTTCATTTATTTTTTAAAGAATGTTTTATACTTGTATTTATATAAGACCTAAATGTATGGTAGGCTAAATCCCAGATATTTTATGAATTATAGAGTTGTTTTGAATGGAATTTCTCTTTCTAGAATTTCCTACTGGTTTTTACTCAATTATGGTGATGATTTCTGTGGATTTATTTTGTATCCTGCTACTTTACTGAAGCTCTTAATTGTTTCAATTAATTTCTTCCATGATTCCTGATAATTTTCTAAGTAAGCCATGATGTCACCTAAAAATAAGCATATTTTTTCTTCTTTCTGTCAGTGTTTATAACTTGAATTTCTTTTGTATTATTGTTATAACTAGCATTTGTAATACTACATCAAACAATATTGGAGAGATGGGACATCTTTGCTTAGTCATTGTACCTACTGGGAAAGCTTCTAAGGTTTCTTCATTGCGAATAATGCTAGCTCGTGGTTTTAGATTTATACTTTTGATCATATTAAAGGAGGATACTTCCGTTCTTATGGATGAATATTGTATTTTGTTGAAAGCTTTTCCTTTATTTGTTGATATAATGCTCAATTTTTGTTCAGATGATTACTTATGCTAATTACTTACCTAATGTCTTTCTATCCCTAGTATAAATCGAGCTTGACCAGAATGAATAATTTTTTTGATTTATTGCTGTATCTTTGCTAATATTTGAGGATAGCTGAGTGGTGAAGTAGATAGAGTGCTGAGCATGGAGTCAAGAAGACCTGTGTTCAAATCCAGACTTAGATATGTACTAGCTGCATGACCCTGGGCAATTCACTTAACTGCTGTCTGCCTCAGTTTCCTCATCTGTAAAATGGGGAGAATAATAGCACCTACTTCCCAGGGTTGTTGTCAGGATAAAATGAGATAATATTTATAAAGCACATTATATAACTTCTAACTTTATATATTACTATTTAACACTTTTGCATCAGCCAATGTTTGTTAGTGAAATTGACCTATAACTAACATTTTTCTGTGTTTTATCTCACTCTGGTTTGAGAATCAGCACCATATTTTCCTCATAAAAGGAGCTTAGTTGAGTGCCTTCTTTTTCAATTGTTGAGAACAATTTTTATAGCATAGATATTTATTGTTGTTTAAATATCATAGAATTCACTTGTAAGTCCTTGTTAGCCACATTTCTCCCCACCCATCCCCTTTGGTAGTTTGTTTATGGCATCCTCTATTTTTCTTTCTGAGATTTGGCTAAGATTTATTTCTTATTTTGTTAATTTGGTTACTTATTTATTTATATATATATATATATTTTTTTGTCTAGGCAATGGAGTTAAGTGACTTGCCCAGGGTCACACAGCTAGTAAGTGTTATGTGTCTGAGGCCGGATTTGAACTCAGGTCCTTCTGAATCCAGGGCCGGTGCTCTATCCACTGTACCACCTAGCTGCCCAAATTTTCATTTTCATTTTTTTTTTAATTTTTAGGCAATTGGGGTTAAGTGACTTGCCCAGGGTCACACAGCTAGTAAGTGTCAAGTGTTTGGTCTGAGGCCGGATTTCAACTCAGGTCCTCCTGACTTCAGGTCTGGTGCTCTATCCATGGTTACTTAATTTTTTAAGGTATCTATCCATTTCCTTTAAATTATCAGCTTTTCCAGTATTTAATTGTATATAGTAATTTCTGGTAATTCTCTTTATTTCCTTTCTAGTTTGTTTTTACCTTGTTTGTTTTTTATCTTGGTAATTTGATTTTCCCATTTAAAAAAAATCAAGTTTGTAGTTTATTGATTTTCTTAGTGTTTAAAAACAAATTCAAATTTATCATTTCTATAACTTTTCCATTTTTATCTATTTCTTCTCTAATTTCAAGACTTCTTCTTTTGGACTTTATTTGAAGATTGTTAATTTCTTGATTTAGTAAACTACATGCTCAGTTCAATAATCTCTTCTATTTTTGTTAAAACGTTTTCAAAAATATATTTTGTGTTCTTTAACAGCATCCTATAAATTGTATATTTTGTCTTGTCACTCTTTAATATAGTTATTTTAATTATGATTTTTTTATACTTGTTTAGGAAATCATCACTTAGGTCTATATATTTTCCTTATATTTCCCATATCAATTATATGGACTGTTTGTGTCTGACCTGTGACAGAGCCTTCTGAGTTCATATTGGTCTGATTAACCACAGTTAGACATATACTTGACCCCAACATAGTGATGTCATTTTGGTCCTCTTTGAGAATGAAGGACAGCAACCATTATATCAATTACTCGACTTCTTTATGACTTCTTTATAAATTATGTGTTTAATGCTTCTGCTTTTTAACATTTATATATGATTTCTTTAGGTACTTAGTACAAGGTTCTATGTGAAACTGACAAATAGGTATATACTTGAATATTCCCATTCAGAAGTAGTTATAAGCCTTTGAAATCTGATTTTTCTAACAGTCTGTTCACCTTGATGTTTTTCTTGTTTATCTTTCTGTTAAATGAGTCTTTATCTGAAAGGGAGATATTAAAATTTCCTACAAATGTGCTGCTGTCAGTGTCTTTTTACAGTTTTTTTAGCTTTGCCTTTAATGATTTAGATACTGTACCAGGGTACCTATGTGAATTTTCCCTCTTTAATCTCCACTGGCATTTTCCATTTTTAATGCTCCCTTCTCTGAAATCATGATTGCAACTCTTGCGCTTTTTTTGGAATTATCCAAAACATAGTAGATTTTGTTCCAGCCTTGAATTTTTGCCCTGTCTTTTATGTTCTAAATGCGGTTCATGTTTGCAACAAATTGTTGGATT